TGCCTACTGACCCCCTCCCAGAGCCCAGGCTCCACCTCAACTCTGCTCCTAAGTCCTGCCTCCTCAGAGACCTTTCAGCATGACTGACAGGATAAGTCCCCCCAGCTCCAACATAAGGGAAGTGTCCTGCTAATGCTGCCCTCACTTTGATTTTTCTTTCTTTACTTCACCTTTGGGCACATGTTGTATGCAGGAGAGAGAGAAAACGAGAAAGCACTCCCCACAGTGGTTAGTCATGCCTCAGTCCCCTCTCCTCCATTCTCCCCTCTGGAATTTGGGTGAGCATGCACATCCACTAGGTATATTTCTCAAGCTACCAGGTCTGGGATGCAAACCATGCAGTCAGCCATGTGGGATCCAGCCACCTTAACCACCATACCACTGACTGGCCCAAGCAGCAATACTTTGAAGCTAAGTAGTCCTGCAGTGTGATGATGGCTCTGCCATCTGTGAGCTGGATGTCTCCTCCCTTGAACCTCAGTCATCTAAACTGTGAAATGGGGCTCAGTGTCTACCTCTGGGAATTCTGATAAAAGTGAAAGAAGTGGGTTAGCAATGCCCAGCACTTAGACATGCAGTGCATGTGTTCTACTTTCTGAGCACCAACTATGTGCCAGATACTGTTCCGAGGCCTGTGTATACAGGAACAAGGCATGATCTCTGCCCTCATCAAGACACATCTGGTATAGAAGACAAATCAACAAAAACAAAGTATAAAGTCTGGTTATGAAAAAATACTGAAAAAGGGACCAGCAGATAGCTAGTGTTACATCACTGGACTCACACATGGCCAACTGTGGTTCAAGTCCTGGACCCAGTGACTTGAAACACACCAGGCACATGTGCATGTGTGCCTAAAATCCCGAGAGGAAAATGGAGTAGAAGGGATTGTGCCATGGCCATCCCCACTGGGGGTTGCTGAAAAGAAAAAGTGGGCCAGCCAGTGGCATGGTGATTAAGATGGCAAATGTTGGAGGAAGAGACAAGAGGCCAGTGCTACTGGAGTGGGGAGGAGACTGGCTCCTGTTTGGCCTTGCTGGCCATGCTAGGGAGTGGGGACATTATTCCAGGTGTGCTAGGGAGCAGGGACATTATTCCAGATGTGCTGGCGAGCCTTGGGAAGGTGTGTGTTGTGTCCGTCCCTCTGGTCAACCTTCTGGTCAGCCTTGTGGAGTGTGGTCTGCATAGAGGGCCTTTCAGTGGCTAGAAGTTAAGCTGGGAAGAGCTCTGGTTTGTGTCCGGGCTACCTCCCTCCCTAATGGTTCGATAAATGTGGAGGGTTCCCTCACCCAGGTTGGCAGCTCAGTGCGTGGGGCACTGTCCTAGGTATCAGGGATAGCATGCTCAGTGACACTGGCTTCCTAAGTGCAGGGGAAAGCTGCTGGAGCACTTGAAGCAGACACGCTGAGATCTGATCTGCTTTTAGAAATCTTCTTTGTGCAGGGTGTGGACTGAGGGGGTTATTGTGACTAGAAGTGGACCATGCAGGTAGCACAGGTGAGCAAGTTGACATGTGGCACCTGGGGCCAAGTGGAGACAGCAGGCCCCGTCTGAGGGGCAGCCTCTGCACCTGCTGGGACCAGGTGGAAATGGAAGTCCAGTGGGGGGAGTGCATCAAGAGGCAAGATGGGGGGGCTGACAGGTGGTGTGGCGGCTAAGGGCACTGGGGACTTCCACATGGCTGACCATAGTTCGAGTCCCAGACCTGGTGGCTTGCTTTCTCATTCTCTCTCTCTCTCTCTCATATATATTTTTTTTTTTTTTGGAGAGATTTTCACTGTAGGGCGCGTGCGCTCGCCAGACAGACAGAGAGAGACATAGAGACAGAAAGCGAGAAATCACCCCCCAGGGGGGATGGTCACGCCGCAATCCCTTCTCCTCCATTCTCCTCTCGGGATCTTGGGCACGCACGCACACGCGCCCGGCGTGAGTTTTAAGCCACCGGGTCCAGGACACGAACCGCGGTCGACTACGTGGGAATCCAGCGACATAGCCATTACGCTAACTGCTGGTTCCCGAATATATATTTTTTTAATGCGGCAAGACATAATGCAGCAAGACATGAGCTCGGGAGCCAGCTAGTGACCTGCATTCCACACTCACACGCTGAGCATTTAGTTCTAGGTGTGTCACCAGGTTTGGAATCTGGTCCCACCACTGACAAAGCCAAGTGACCTTGATCATGGCCCTTGGCCCTCAAAATCGCAGCTTCTTGATTTGTAAATGGGGGGAGAAAGCCTCATTATAGCATTGTTAGGAGGGTTTAAGGACAAACTGGGTAGGAAACTTCCTCATAAAAGGGTGCTGCAGGCTGCCCTCTCCCTACTCAATAGGCTGGCTGCACCCTGAGCTGGGTGTTTAGCTACCACCCCTCTTCCATATCATGTGCTTCCCTCCTGACCTAGCTTCAGAGCAGAAGGCTGTTGCTCACCTCCTCCTGGGCCAAGTCACACCCTCTAGGGTGGGGGACAGGGGCTCAGAAACCCCAACATGAGAGCCTCCCAATCCTGCATCCTTGTTACCCTCTCTGCCCTGCTTTTCCCATCTACCAGCCTACCCAAGCCAGAGGCTCCCCTGAAGGAGAAGGAGACTCTGGCTGAAAAACCCCAAGACTTCCTCAGCTTCTGAATCTGCCCTGAATCACTCTGGGAATTTAGCCCTGTTCCTTTCCCCTCTTCTCTGGCATGCAGTAGCATTGATAAGACTCTGCACTCCTCAGGCTGTGACCACAGGTGCCCAGGTTCTAGTCCCCATCCAGCCTACAGGCCGGAAGCAGTGGCATAGGCCAGGTAATCCCAGTGATTCAGGAGGCTAAAGCCAGAGGATCACAAGCTCCAGGCTGTCCCAGACAACACGGTGAAATCCTATCGGAAGAAGAGTCAGGCACTGTGCCTAAGGCAGGAGAACTGTGACAATGAGTCCCTCCCTATCTCTTAAAAACAGTGAGATGGGGACCAGCAGTTGGCGTAATGGCTATGTCACTGGACTCCCATGTAGTCGACCACGGTTCGAGTCCTGGACCTGATGGCTTAAATTCATGCTGGGTGCATGTGCGTGCATGCCCAAGATCCCAAGAGGAGAATGGAAGAGAAGGGTTGGCTGCGTGGCCATCCCCTGGGGAGTGATTTCTCACTTTCTGTCTCTTTGTCTTTCTGGTGAACACAAGGGCCCTATACCACCCCCCTCCAAAAAAAAAAAAAAAAACCAGTGGGCTGGGGCTAACAGGTAGCATGGTGGTTGATGCGTGGACTCCCACATAGCCAACCATGCTTCAAGTCCCAGACCTGGTGGCTTGCTTTCTCACTCTCCCTTTCTGTCTATCTCTCTCTGGTCAAAATTGAAGAATAATGATAATAATTTAAAATAAATAAATTGTTAAAAAAAAAAAAAAAGGAAAAAAACAGTGGCATGGGGGTAGGAAAATGCAATCCAGTAGCATCGTGGTTGAGGGAGTAAAATCCCATATGGCTGACCATGTGGTCAAATCCCAACCCTGGCATAGAAAACACACCAGGCCCATTCATGTGTGTACCCTAAGTCCCCACAGGATAGAGAAATGGAGAAGAGATTGCATTGTGATCATACCCCACTGGGGATTCTTTCACCCTCTGTCTCTTTCTGGCTAGCACACATGCCTCTGGCTTTTTCTTTTTTTAAAGGTGGAGGCCTAGTAGCTCCACCTCACCTCCAGGTTCCACGCCAGGCTCCTCTCTGGCTTCCAGGCCCCACACAGGCTGGCCCCTATTCACCCCTGCACCATCCCCTCCTCTCCAGTGTCACTCCAGCCTCCTGGCTTGCTGTCAGTTCCCTGACCCTGCCATCTTTCTCACGTGGGATTCTTTAGTGAGTACCTTAGTGAGGCTGTCTGCCTCTCTTAAGTTTTCTTAACAATAATATGGGTCAGTCATCCCCAGCTAAGAGTAAAGGAAGAGGGCTGGGGCCGGCAGGTGACATGGTGGTTGAGGGTGCTTGCCGGGTTCCCACATGGCCAACTGTGGTTCAAGTCCCAGACCTGGCAGCTTACTTTCTCACTTTCCTTCTTTCTCTTTCTCTCTCTCTCTCGCGCGCACCCTCTCTCTCTCTCCCTCTCCCCCTCCCTCTCTCTCTCTCTCTCTCATGCGTGTGCACTCTCTGTCCTTCTCTGGTTAAATTTAAATAAATAAATAAAAAGGTAAATAAAATAATTTTTTAAAAATAATAAAAGAGGAGAACCCTGGGGCTAGCAAGTGGTGTGGTGGTTAAGACACTGGATTCCCACATGGCCAGCCATAGTTTGAGTCAAGGATCCGGGAACTTGAATATCGTACCAGGCATGCATGCCCAAAATCTCGAGAAGAAAAGGGATTGCAAAGCTGTACCTCTGGTCTGGGGTGATTTCTTACTTTCCCTCTCTCTGTCTCTTTGTTTCTCTCTGGCAAGCATATGTACCCTATGACAAAAACCTTAAAAAAAAAAATAGGGGCCAGCAGGTGGCATGGTGGTTGAGGGTGTAGGATTCACACATGGCTGACCATGGTTCGAATCCCAGGCCTGGTGCGTTGTCACTTTACCTCACTCTCCTTCTCTGTCTGTCTCTGTCTCTCATATTTAAAAATAAATGAAATTAAAAGATAATAAATAAAGTTGAATAAAAATAATTCTTAAAAAAAAACTTAAAAAGTAAAAGGGGGGGCTGGCAGGTAGCATGGTGATTGGGGCACTAAACTCCCACATGGCTGACTACAGTTCCAGTCCCAAACCTGGTGGCTTGCTTTCTCACTTTCTCTTTCTCTCTGATCAAATTAAAAATAATAATAATGCTGAATAAAATTAAATACTTTTTTTTTTTTAAAAAAAAAGAAAAAAAGAAAGAGGAGAGCCCTTAACCGTTTTATCTGGGCCAAAGTGGCACTGATGGCTACAGTTTTTCCATCACCAAGGCCACTGCATGTGGCCTACCACCTACCCACCCACACTGCTGTCTGAGGACTCAAACAGTGCCTCCCCTTCTCTCTCTGCAGGACACTTTTGTGGAACTCTACGGGAACAATGCAGCAGCCGAGAGCCGGAAGGGCCAGGAGCGCTTCAACCGCTGGTTCCTGACAGGCATGACTGTGGCCGGCGTGGTTCTGCTGGGCTCGCTCTTCAGCCGGAAATGACCAGACACTGACCACCCACTTACCCTCCTGCCCCCACCCTGCCCCACCACATCCCTCCGTCCAGCCACCATTGCCACCAGGAGAACCACTACATGCATATCACACCCATCCACCATCACAGGGTTGGGCCTAAACTTGGTCCCCTGCAGTTAGTTTTCTAGAATCTACCACGCTTCTGTGAGAGCCACCCTTGCCGACACCTCAGTTCTCTTGGCCTCACAATCCAGAGTTTCCCCCAAACCTGCCCCACTGAAGCTGGCAGATGTGGGGGGAGTTTGTGCTGGGGGCGGGAGGGCCCTGCCTGATTGGTGGACCCTCACCCTTTCACCTCCAAGAATGCTTTCCTGCCAGGGAGCTGAAAAGTTTTCTGAACCTCTTCGCCAGAAAGAAAGACTAGATTGCCTTTGTTTCGATGTTTGTGGCCTCAGAATTTATCATTTCCCATTGACCCTAGACCTGGGTTCCCCTTCTTTCCATCCCTACCCCCAGAGCCATTTGGGGGCCAGTTTTGACTAATTAGGTGTTCAGGCTGCTTAGAATAAAGAAGCAAAGATGGGGACTCCCTCCCCACCTCTGGCCTGGCCAAAGTCCCCACTTCCAGTCTGAATGTTTTCCAGAGGTCTCTGACTAGAGGCCCCACCCCAGAGGGAGGGGGCTACAGCTGCAGGAAGCACCCCATGCCAAAGCTAAGGTGGCCCTTGCAGTTTTGCACCAGCCTAGTCCCTTCCCCTCTCCCAGCTCCCCTGACCATGACCAAGGGACCAACAGGGCCCAAGCAGGTGCCCAGAGCTGTTGATGGCCTCAGCTGCCTCACTTCCTGCACGGAGATCAGCCTTGGCATCTTTGCCTTGGGCTGCTTCCCATGGGGTCCAGGTGTTGAGGGGCCTTGGCCCAGAGGTGAAGGGGGGCTATAGGAGCAGCTATGGGAGCCCTAGGGTCTTCCCTACCTCAGGCAGGAAGCGCAGGAAGGAGAGCCTGGTTCTCGGGGTGGAGGTGGGGAGGGGTCAGTCCCGCCTGGCCGGGCAGATTTGCCCAACCCCGTCCAGCCTGGGCAGCTGGGCTGCCAGGGCCAGAATGGCCTCAGGAGTCCTTCAGGCCTGTCTCTCCTCTGTTCCACCCTTGGCCTGTCATCTCTGGGGGGCCTAGCCCAGCCCTGGCCATCCCGGGCTCTCTGCTGTACATATTCGAGACTAGTTTTTATTCCTTGTGAAGATGATATACTATTTTTGTTAAGCGTGTCTGTATTTATGTGTGAGGAGCTGCTGGCTTGCTGTGCGTGTGCACGTGGAGAGCTGGTGCCCGGAGATTGGACGGCCTGATGCTCCCTTCCCCTGCCCTGGTCCAGGGAAACTGGCTGGGGTCCTGACTCCTGAGGGGCACCTGTCCCTCCCCCAACCCCCTTGCTCTTTGAAATAGTCGGTGTGAAAGTGAAAGTGCAGTTCAGTAATAAACTGTGTTACTTCAGTGAGCAAAGAGCCTGGTCTGTGTGTTCTGGCAGGGGGAATGGAGGGGCTACCTGGCTGACTGAGAGCGAGCACTTACTGGTCCTATTTTGCTGCCCTCAGAGGAGGGCCTTTAACAAGTCCCTTCCTCTCCTTGAGGCCAAATTTCTCCACCTGTTCCTTGGGAAAGTTTTTATTGACCTAGGCACTGGGGATCTTGCAGCCAACAAAGCCCCTTCAGTGTCCAGTCTAGGGTCGATGGACAGTTAAGGGCAGGCACACATTCTGCAAATTCCATCGTTCGATTTCATCTTCAAGCAAACAGTCAAGACTGCGTGTCTGTGGGACCAGAAGATGGCATAATGGACATCGCTGGACCCAATAGCTTAGAACTCAGGCCAGGTACATGTATGTACATACATGCAGGGGAAGGATTGTGACATGGCCATGCTGCCTGGGGGTGATTTCGCGCTTTCTACACACCTAGGCTAGATGGTCTATCTGTTACTTACAAGATCACTGTTGGGCATGTGGTCCTTTGCTGACCAAAACACCCTTGTGTGGCGTAGACTAAGTTTACATGGAGGGCTTAGTGAAGGAGGTAAAGAAGGGGTCAGGGGCTAGCAGGTGGCATAGTGGTTATGTCGCGGGACTCCCACATGGTCGATTGCAGTCTGAGTCCCAGACCTGGTGACTTGAAAATTACACCGGGTGCATGTGCGTGCATGCTGAAGAGAAGGGATTTATCACTTTGTCTCTGTCTCTCTCTAGCGAGCACACACACCTTAAGGCAAAAAACCTCTTCTTTTTTTTTTTTTTTGGAGAGATTTTTCGCTATAGGGCGCGTGCGCTCGCCAGACAGACAGAGACATAGAGACAGAAAGCGAGAAATCACCCCCCAGGGGGGATGGTCACGCCGCAATCCCTTCTCCTCCATTCTCCTCTCGGGATCTTGGGCACGCACACACACGCGCCTGGCGTGAGTTTTAAGCCACTGGGTCCAGGACGCGAACCGCGGTCGACTACATGGGAGTCCAGCGACATAGCCATTATGCTAACTGCTGGTTCCCAAAAACCTCTTCTTTTTGTAAGAAGTATTTATTTAATTTTATTTATTAATACTATTACTTAATTCAACCAGAGACAAAAGCAAGAAAGCAAGCCACCGGTTTCAGGATTTGAACCGTGGTTGGCCATGGGGCAAGTCCAGCACCCTAACCACCACCTGCCAGCCCCAAGGCAAAAACCTCTTTTAAAAAAATAGTGGGGAGGATCAGCAGTTGGCGCAATGGCTATGTTGCTGGACTCCCATGTAGTCAACTGTGGTTTGAGTCCCAGACCCGGTGGCTTAAACTCATACCAGGCGTGTGTGCATGCATGCCCAAGATCCCAAGAGGAGAATGGAGAAGGGATTGTGGCATAGCCATCCCCCCTGGGGGATGATTTCTCACTTTCTGTCTCTGTCTCTCTGGCGAGCACACATGCCCTATAACAAAAATCTCTCAAAAAAGGGGGGGGCTCAGACTTGAAATAATAAAAAAAATTTTTTGGAGAGGTTTTTCACTATAGGGTGCATGCGCTCGCCAGACAGACAGAGAGAGACATAGAGACAGAAAGCGAGAAATCACCCCCCAGGGGGGATGGTCACACCGCAATCCCTTCTCCATTCTCCTCTCGGGATCTTGGGCATGCACGCACATGCGCCCGGCGTGAGTTTTAAGCCACCGGGTCTGGGACGTGAACCGCAGTCAACTATGTGGGAGTCCAGCGACATAGCCATTACGCTAACTGCTGGTTCCCTTGAAATAAAAATTTTAAAGTAGATTCCACTGATTTCAGATAAATTAGAGAAAGCTCTAGAAAAGACTACGCCAAGGTGACAGATTTTTGCAGTAGGGATGCCATTATAAATAATAAAAATGAAGCACATGTCTGAGGCCACTGCAACCCAAGAGAATGCTCCAGAAGCATTGAACAGGGGATCTGAACTTGTCTGGGGCCAAGAATCAGGGAGGGCTCCCTGGCTTGGAAGAGCTGACTTGAAAGGCAGGTTTGGAGAATGCATGAGAATTAACTAGTGGGGGCAAGCAGGTAGCATGGAGGTTAAGGCACTGGATTGCCAACTGAGGTTTTTGTCCTGAACCCTTGAAAACCTGGGGTGGGGGGAGCATAAATCCTGATAGGATGGAAGAGAAGGAATTGTGGTATGGCCATCTCCCTGGGGGTGACTCTTCTCTCCCTTTGTCTTTCTCCAGCAGGTGCACACACCCTATGGCAAAAAACTATTAAATAAAGAACAGCAGGGTGGTTAAGGCAGCTAGGTTCCACATGGCCATCTACACATTTTAAGTCCCAGACTCTGTGGCTTAGTAAACACCCAGTGCATGTGTGTGCATGCCCAAAATCCCAAAGGAAGTGAAAAGTGGAGAAAGAAAAGCAATGTGACCATCCCCCATTGGGGTACTTCTCATTTTCTCTCTCTTTCTCCAGCAAATGCATGAGCCCTTTGGGGGGGGCAATAACTTAAAGGGAGGGGCCAGCAGATAGCACAACAGTTATGTCTCTGGACTTCCACATAGCTGATTGTGGTTCAAGTCCCGGACCCAATGGCTTGAAACTCACATCAGGAGCATGTGCATGTGTGCCCAAGATCCCAGGAGGGGAATGGAGAAACAACTGTGGGGAAGCCATCTCCCCGGGGGTGTGGGGGTGGTGGGGGGTGGAGGGGGTGTGGTGATTTCTCACTTTCCCTCTCATTGTCTCTATCTCTCCTAAATGAGTGTACACACCATAAGGTAAAAATCTCTAAAAAAAAGAAAATGAATAGGATCAGCAGTTGGCATAATGGCTAAATCGCCGGAATCTCATGTACGCGATTCGAGTCCTGGACCAGGTGGCTTAAACTCACACCTAACGCGTGTGCGTGCGCGCCCAAGATCCTGAGAGGAGAATGGAAGAGTCCCAAGGGACTACAGTGTGGCCATCCCCCCGGGGGGATGATTTCTTGCTTTCTGTCTCTCTGTCTCTGTCTTTCTCACGAGTGCATGCGCCCTATAGCAAAAACCTCTCAAATAAATAGAGAAAAAAGAAAGGAAAAAGAAGGGAGGGAGGCAAGAGAGATCATGGGAAGAAGATGCAAGAGCACGGGGTGAGCAGGGGGTGTCCTCGGGCTGAAGGAAAGTTGGGATGTGCGGAGCTAAACGTGTGCTCCTAGTCCTGATGACGCCAGAGAGGTGGGGTGAGGGGATTGGGCTTGATTCTGATGGCCCTGAGCCAGAGAAAGAAGATTCGGGCTGGGGAGCAGAGGGGAAATCTGGAGACAGGAAGGAAGCCATGGTTTGGTTAAAACTCTGGGTTTGAGGGTGGACGGACCAGGCGTACCCATTCCTGGGGTCAGTATTCCTGGTCTTGTGACTGGGCAAGCTACTTAACCTCTCTATGCCCCGGCGTTACCCTCTACAAAATACGTATAATGGCAGTACCCATCTCATTGTGGCAAGATTGAATGACATACCCAGCAGAGGAGAGGGAGGACAAGGTGCCGGAGATGGGACAGGATGGCCCCGCCATCGGCCGGGCTCTCCAGGAGGAGGGAGGAGGTGCCTGCTCTCGAATTTCCACGTGGCTGTGGCCCGAGGTCCGGCAGAGGTCTGGGAAAACGTCCGGGACTCCAGGGGCGGGCACTCCAGCTGTGGGGCGGGCCTGGGGGAGGGACCAGCCTTGGCGCC